GCGATTAATTATGGAGTGATGATGATGGTGGAGCTGCAGCTTGAGCTGGAGACGGAGTTGGAGCAGCCTCTGCCCTCCGGCTCCGGCTACGGCTCCGGTGGAGCATTAATCATGTGAAAGTAATTTTGCGCATTTGCATGCGTTGCAGAAAGCGATAATTTTCATCCATCATTTTCAAGTGTTTCCGCAGGATTATAGTGCTGCAAGGAGGCGTCTGCCTTTCGCTGTCATATCCTGCGTGTGTGCAGGATGGGGAGTCCCCTCATTATCCATCGCCATGTCGTCGTCAATTATACTTGTTCTACAGGCTGCCTGGAAGAACTTTGCATTTAGTTGATGAGCTCTTCTGCCCTGGTGGAAACCACCAACTCCTCCTGCTTCCTCCTGCTTCCTCCTGCTTCCTTTGCTGCTTTGCTGCCTTGCTCTTTTGTGCCTCGATGCCTTTGGTTTTCGGGACTCGGCTTTCATCTCTCGGCTGACTGCCGGTTGATCAATGGCTCTGCCCGTTTTCCGTGGTGTTTCATGCAATTACGTATTTATATTGCGTATACGCCATGTGGATACGACGGATGGATGGAGAGCCCTACGTCGGAGAGATGGAGAGCCTAGAGCCCCACAACTGCAGCAATAATGAACTTTGATTTCGCCCCTTGCGATTCCCGGCATCATGAGTGTTCCACAGCTTGTGGCCTGGCTGGAAAATGCAGAGCACGAGCTGGCAAATATGCGATATAATTGCTGATTGATGTGGCTAGAAGAAGACTGCTCCTTTATGGTTTCGCACATTTCAATACCAAACTTGCTTAAAGTATTCAATCAAACAAACAGACTCAAAGTAATATCATTTCAATTTTTTATAATCTCATAATTCTTGCCGCAAATACTCGCATGTACTTATATATCTTTTTGCCCACTTTTCGCTACTCATAACCATTACTTAACCCATTAGAGGACCATAAAGTGCGGCCATAACCGTCTCTATCAAGTGGGCCGAGTTATGGAGGCCATGTGTGCAGCCACTTGGTTGGTTTTTGGGCGGAGGCGCCGGATCTTGGCAGGATGTGGTTACCATTTAGCAGATGTCGCCGCTCTTGGCACCCAGCTCCTTGGCCATTAATCTGCCTGGGAACGCGGCTGCCAGATGCCTGCATCTGCGAAAAGTGCGAAAGTATCGCACACATGTTTCCCTTATTTATTTTTTGGCAATGCTCTGGCTGCATGTTTAATTGGATTTGCAGCTAAGCGGAATTAGAACTCTGGGGGGAAAAGTGGGGCACATTTGCATACTACAGCTGGTGCGGAAAAATTCGGGGGAAAAGCTCGACACACTGGAAAAATGGGTGTGCAAATCGAACTTCAATTCGAAGAAATGCAATAATTTTGTACCTGGGTTTGCTTTTCATTAGTTTCTGAAAATTGGTTTCTACCAAGAAATAATTTAGCTAAAAATATTTACATATTTCTTGGACCTCAAACTCCTATCAAATATATTCAAATTGGTTGGGAAATCTTTTCAGAGTGCCGCTGCGAGGCGACAACAAGCAAGTGTAAATTTCACTTGAACTGATAATTTCACTCAATTTGTGAGCGCTGATGAGCAAAGTTTTCCCATTTGCATGGCACTACGTGTGCCGGCTTTTCCCCGCTCTTCCACGCCCACTCCAGATGCAAGTTTCCATCTTTCGTTTCTCCTTCATCTGGCGCTGCTCCTGAATCTGATGATTTCTTTTCTGCCATCGTCGCCCCAAGTTGAAGGTGCCAATTAGGGATTTCCGCCTCAATTACTTTCGCGAGCACACGAGCAGCGAGTTTGTATGATTTTCGCATGACAAACTTGGTGCTTTCACATCGACGTCACCCCCATTCCCCTTCACCCCCTCCCCAGCAAATGACTGTTTCCCTTGGCGAAGTATTCACTTCCTCTAAAAATGTAATTGCACGGAGTGCGACCCGAAAATGTTGGGTGTGCGTGATGAAAAAACTCGTTTGCATTCCACATGTTTCATCTGCAGGTGCAGAAACTGGAATGCATAGTTCATGTGGCTTTTCCTGCGACTTGGCAATTTCCATTTCTGCTGAATGCGTTTCTAGCTCCTTGATTGGCTCTGCGATTACGCTAAAATGATTGCAAATATGCGAAAACGTTGATGGACTGCATGGCACAGCGATTTCGAAGTGGCGAGTTTGAAGAATTAGCAATAGGGAGATTTTTGATAAGGCATACAATAGCTTGCTTGTTTTTCATATGATTTATTTTTGTGCAACGACCTTTTCTGCACTAGTTTTCTGATATCAATTAATTGGAGAGTCTGCATTAGGCAGCAAGCCGGTAAAAGCCAGTTCGCATTTCATAAGCCAACATACAAACGGGTATCTGTAAATTGTAATACATGGCCATCGGGTCGAGGGGCGCCTTTCAAATCAAAACCAATAGGGCTAACGACAAAGGCAAACGTTTCCCTAGCTTTTGTCAAGTCACGAAAAGGCCGAGAAGCACTTAGGAATATTGCATTGAATACGGACGGCATCGAATCGAGGTGGTTAGATCGATGTCGGTACCGAAGGTACGGGAGGTACGGGAGGTGCAGCAGGATGCGGGGGAATGGAAAACGGGGTCAAGTCAGATGTGTGACGATTCCGGATGGATCCGGAGCAGCTCGTCCTGCTGCTTAAGTGTAATTAAATTCACCCAGCCCCACTCCCCAAGTGTTGCTCATCAAATGGATTGATTTATGATGATGCCCTCCCCTTCGTCCTTCGTCCTTCGGCTTCATCCTTCCCTGGCTGACGAGGCATGACATAATAAATCGCCATGTCCTGGATCCAGAGACACCCAGTGTCCTGGCTGGCCCAGTGACAGCCACACACACATGAGCCGGGCGCAGAGATTTGAAAATTAATTTGCGAAAAGTTTCGCCTACTCAAATCTCGCCTTTCGCATTTCGCATCCTGCGCGCTATATTTATATTTATTATTTAATTTCGCCCCACTGCTGTGTACTTTGGCGTATTTTTACGCTCGACTGCCGCCTCGTTCCTTTTGCTGCGTTGACGGCAAAGTTTAATTTTTATTGTTGTTTGACTTTGTTAAATGATTTTTATTGCCTTTCAGCTGGCCCGCCAAGCAGCCAAGGAGAAGAAAGACGAAGCCTTTGTAGGAATTTAATATAACTGCTGCGACCATATTGCCGAGCAAACAATGCAGCCGCTCCACTTTTTCCCCAACCGATGCCCCTCCATGTCCTTTATTGCTCTAGGATTTATTGGGCGCTCTCCGCTGAGTTTGACGGTTTGTCTTGAGATTTGGGAGCCGTTCGATTGTTTTGCGTATTCCACTCGCTCGCTGCCAAATTGCCAAGTTTTTCAGCCAAGCGAACGCCTCAGGTTTTGCGGCATAACTCATAAGCATCTCTTCCAAAATCAAAATGAAAACCTGTAAGTACAGACGTGAAAAGCAGTCTCGGTAGGAAACCACAACAAAGGAGCCTAGAAATTTAATGAAAAGTCTTGGCACACAGCTGCACTCAACTCACTGGCTACCTGGCTGTAAAAATAATTCAAGACACATAAAATAGTATCTTTTGCTCTCCCCTTTGACAGCAGCTGCTATTTTGTTGGCCCGGACTGTAGCTGTAGTCACTGCCAACTTTTCCGGTCACCACAATAAAGGAGTCTTCCAAGAGCCTGGTGTTCAAACACGCTTTTTTGCGGTTGGTTGAAAGAGTTTAGCCGCAAATTTAATTACAGGTCCTGAAATGGACCACATTTAGCTGAAGAAAGCAATGACAAATAAATGAAGAATATTTTGCAATTTATGAAATATTTTCCCTTCAAATTAGAAGACTTCCATGGAGTCTAGTTCAAAGTGTAACATGTTACATGGAATGCTCGTTTAAAAAGACTAAAAATTAAATGCATAATTTATGGCCTTTAGCATAATCGTGGCGGGCTTCACTGTGAGGTTGTTAGCGCTTGAACGCAAACTGGCATCAGCTTAATGGGTTAATTATCTGGACAGATGTGGTAGCCGGCAGGCTGGAGCTTAAAATTTGCTGTCCGCGCCCGTGGAAATGATTAATTGCAGTTTGCTGGAATGCAGTGCGAGTGCAATGAGTGCACGTCAAATGAATTGCATAATCAGCTGTCAATTACAGTCCTGTCAGGGGATTCTGCGCTGGTCGGAGGATCCTTTATTCGATGCGCCATCGGCATTAAACAAATTGCTCTGCAGGCCATCGGGAATGAGTTCTGAATGGTTGCCAAGCGAACAATGGCGGTGACTCTGGATTAGAACGAATAGTTTCCATGGACGGGCTGCATTTGTGTCAACTGGATTGTTATGCATGTTTGCATTACTGAGCGGTATATCTTTTTTCCCAACCACCGCCCCTCGCCCCCTCCAGCAATTGTCCTTCGAAGGACAATGTACGCATTGCGTCACTCCGAGAGATACGCCCATTGTTCGAGCCGAAACAAAGCCAAGCCAAATCCAAAGCCTGCCATGCGACATTGCGCCCTCCTGAGCCTTTTGCTCCACCCCGGCTTCAGCCATAGTTTTAATCTCACTAATGGCTGGCAGGGTTTCAAGTCGATGGCTACACAGCCAGGACCTGCTGCTCATGTCACAAAGGTCCTTCGCTGCACACGACAATTCAATTTCGCCCCCTTTCCCAAAAAGAATACAGATTCCATGCACAATGCGAGATACACCCGTCCACAGGCGCACATGGCACGGGTTATGTTCTAAAAGTTTAGAAGGCCATAAAACACGAAAAGCATTTGTGATGTCAGAAAGTTGCTTTTTTGTCAAGTAAAGTAGTGTCTGTTTCGTAATGCTTTACACAATGCCAGCAACACGTCACTAAGTCAATTGGCACCTTTGAATAAGAGTGAGTGAATCAATCGATCAGCCAACTCTTAAGAGAATCCACTAATTAATTGAGTGTCTCGCCACGAAAGCTCCCTTGAAAACCTGAGATCGAAACTAGAAAACATCAGTAGCACTTGGAATCTCGGCTCGCAAACAGGTTGCTGTCGCAATGAGGAAACTGCAAATATTGGGATTTCTGTGCATGGGTGCTTTTTTTACCCTTGGCACTTCTTTCGCTGGTAAGTAGACATAATCCGCATAATTGCCGATTAAATAAAACTTGTTCCGAATCGCAGATCCCAGGGTAAAGGCCTATGTAAATGACTTTGTGTTTCCCACCGAAGATGAGCACGTCATTCCCCCTTGGCAGCAGTTCACCAATGGGCACTCATCCCAGTCGAGAGACTTGAAATTATCCAAATGCAGTGACATTCGTGTGGAAGACTCTTCCGGAAAAGCTCGTCTGATCTTCATCAGCTACCAGAAAGTAGAGGATCCTCTTCAGAGCTTAAAAAAGCAGCTAGGCGGGGAACTAAATCTTCCGGAACTTGTTGATAGCATAAAGGTAGTGAGGCGTGGGAAAAACCGCTTAGTTTTTGATATGCCAAGCGCTTTGGATGCTCTTTTCACCCTGAATAGTTACTGCAATCTATATCGCGATCGTCACGATTTCACCTATGAAATCATCACCGTTGAGTAATGATCCAAACCGATTTTAGATCAGCTTATTCGATTTCACTTAGGATTTACACATGTACTCATTAATAAACAAAGATAAAACAAGAAAGAAAGCTATAGTCGAGTTCCCCGACTATCTGATACCAATTACTCAGCTAGTGGAAGTGCAAACGAGAAATTTCAAAATTTTCTGGAAAATCGGTAAAAAGTGGGGGAAATAAAAAATAAAATGAAAAAAACAATAAAAAAATTTGTTTGTGGTTTATGGGCAATACCATAATTGCCACCATAAAAACATTACAAAAAAATTCAAAAAAAATAAATTTCTAAATTTGAATGCAGTTTTGTAGAGAATTGCGCCAGAAACTTTTAGAGCTATACCACTTCAAAATCCGATTAAGATTAGTTGAGTTATGGAGTTTCGCACTTCAGCCTTGAAACATTTTTTGAGTTTGTACATCATAACATCAAAAAAAGTCCAAAAAAATTCAAAAAAAATAAATTTCTAAATTTGAATGCAGTTTTTTAGAGAATTGCGCCAGAAACATTTAGAGGTATGCCACTTCAAAATCCGATTAGGATTAGTTGAGTTATGGAGTTTAGAACTTCAGTCTTGGCACATTTTTTAATTTCTTTGAATTTCTACAACATCATACACCAGAAAAATGACAAAAAAATTCCAAAAAAATTAATTTCTAAATTTGAATGCAGTTTTTTAGAGAATTGCGCCAGAAACATTTAGAGGTATGCCACTTCAAAATCCGATTAACATAAGTTGAGTTATGGAGTTTAGAACTTCAGCCTTGGCACATTTTTTAATTTCTTTGAATTTCTACAAAATCATACACCAGAAAAATGACAAAAAAATTCCAAAAAAATTAATTTCTAAATTTGAATGCAGATTTATAGAGAATTCCGCCAGAAACATTTAGAGGTATGCCACTTCAAAATCCGATTAACATAAGTTGAGTTATGGAGTTTAGAACTTCAGCCTTGAGACATTTTTTAATTTCTTTGAATTTCTACAACATCATACACCAGAAAAATTACAAAAAAAGTTGAAAAAAAAAAATTTCTAAATTTGAATGCAGATGTATAGAGAATTGCGCCAGAAACATTTAGAGGTATGCCACTTCAAAATCCGATTAACATAAGTTGAGTTATGGAGTTTCGAACTTCAGCCTTGAGACATTTTTTAATTTCTTTAAATTTCTACAAAATCATACACCAGAAAAATGACAAAAAAATTCCAAAAAAATTAATTTCTAAATTTGAATGCAGATTTATAGAGAATTCCGCCAGAAACATTTAGAGGTATGCCACTTCAAAATCCGATTAACATAAGTTGAGTTATGGAGTTTCGAACTTCAGCCTTGAGACATTTTTTAATTTCTTTGAATTTCTACAACATCATAAAAAAACACCAGACAAAACAACACCAGAAAAATTACAAAAAAAGTTGACAAAAAAAAATTTCTAAATTTGAATGCAGTTTTTTAGAGAATTGCGCCAGAAACATTTAGAGGTATACCACTTCAAAATCCGATTAACATAAGTTGAGTTATGGAGTTTAGAACTTCAGCCTTGAGACATTTTTTTAATGTTTTGAATTTGTGCAACATCATAACATCAAAAAAAGTACAAAAAAAGTTGAAAAAAAAAATTTTCTAAATTTGAATGCAGATTTATAGAGAATTGCGCCAGAAACATTTAGAGGTATGCCACTTCAAAATCCGATTAACATAAGTTGAGTTATGGAGTTTCGAACTTCAGCCTTGAGACATTTTTTAATTTCTTTAAATTTCTACAAAATCATACACCAGAAAAATGACAAAAAAATTCCAAAAAAATTAATTTCTAAATTTGAATGCAGATTTATAGAGAATTCCGCCAGAAACATTTAGAGGTATGCCACTTCAAAATCCGATTAACATAAGTTGAGTTATGGAGTTTCGAACTTCAGCCTTGAGACATTTTTTAATTTCTTTGAATTTCTACAAGAATACACCAGAAAAATTACAAAAAAAGGTTGACAAAAAAAAATTTCTAAATTTGAATGCAGTTTTTTAGAGAATTGCGCCAGAAACATTTAGAGGTATACCACTTCAAAATCCGATAAAGATAAGTTGAGTTATGGAGTTTCGAACTTCAGCCTTGGGACATTTTTTTAATGTTTTGAATTTGTGCAACATCATAACATCAAAAAAAGTACAAAAAATTAAAAAAAAAATTAATTTCTAAATTTGAATGCAGTTTTTTAGAGAATTGCGCCAGAAACATTTAGAGGTATACCACTTCAAAATCCGATAAAGATAAGTTGAGTTATGGAGTTTCGAACTTCACCCTTGGGGCATTTTTTTAATGTTTTGAATTTGTGCAACATCATAACATCAAAAAAAGTACAAAAAAAGTTGAAAAAAAAAATTTTCTAAATTTGAATGCAGATTTATAGAGAATTGCGCCAGAAACATTTAGAGGTATGCCACTTCAAAATCCGATTAACATAAGTTGAGTTATGGAGTTTCGAACTTCAGCCTTGAGACATTTTTTAATTTCTTTAAATTTCTACAAAATCATACACCAGAAAAATGACAAAAAAATTCCAAAAAAATTAATTTCTAAATTTGAATGCAGATTTATAGAGAATTCCGCCAGAAACATTTAGAGGTATGCCACTTCAAAATCCGATTAACATAAGTTGAGTTATGGAGTTTCGAACTTCAGCCTTGAGACATTTATTAATTTCTTTGAATTTCTACAACATCATACACCAGAAAAATTACAAAAAAAGTTGAAAAAAAAAATTTTCTAAATTTGAATGCAGATGTATAGAGAATTGCGCCAGAAACATTTAGAGGTATGCCACTTCAAAATCCGATTAACATAAGTTGAGTTATGGAGTTTCGAACTTCAGCCTTGAGACATTTTTTAATTTCTTTGAATTTCTACAACATCATACACCAGAAAAATGACAAAAAAATTAATTTCTAAATTTGAATGCAGATATTTAGAGAATTGCGCCAGAAACATTTAAAGGTTCTTTTTAAAAGTGTGGCCCTGACAGTTTTGTGCGGTTTGTGGGCGTGGCAAGATATGGAAACATGTTGATGTGGGCAGAGATGATTTTCCAACTATAACAATTGATGTAATTATACGCGAAATACAAAATTCAGCTCACATCGAGCGCTGTATTATGCGTAAAACGTTATCATTATAACGTGTACACACAGGTGACTCATGCTAAAATACAATAGAGTTGGTTTTGGCCAACGGCAATCTTCGCACGGGTAATTCCCAGTGGGAATCGCTAGAGTGAAACCTCGTCCGAGGCCAACTAATGTTTGGCCCAGTCAAACAATCGAAGCCCATAAATATGTGGATGTGATTCGGCTGGGGTGATGGTCGCCAGGAGAAACAGCCACCTGGACTACCAACACGAATGCAATTAAGTTTGTTCGGCGGCATAACGCGTTTGGTGGGGGGCGTGGCACGGGCATTGGGCGCTGGCTTGTTTATTGACGTCGCTGGTTTTGTATTAACTGGGCTGGGAAGGACGACCCACGAAAGGCAAAACCCTGGTTGTTGTCGCGCTGGTTGCCCTCGCTGTTGAACATGGCCGCAATGGAATGGGGACTCCAGGATACCAGAATACCAGGACACCAGGACACCAGGGGTACAAGGGGTACAAGGGGGCACAAGGGTACGGGGAAATGGGCGAGCGGAGCTTTACAATTTACACATTAATTATGAGCAGACATGTGTTGTAGGCGTTTTGGCCAGGATCCTGGTGCGCCTAGAGCCTTGCGACGCGGTAACAGGTGCCTCCTGTGACTTCATTGCCTCCACGTGCACTGGAAAAAGCAACGCCAGACTCTGCCCATTCCCTGCTCCTCATCGCTCCAAACCATAAACTATTTGGTTAGTATTTCTCCGAGTGCGCGAAGTATGCAAATTCTGGCTAGGCAAAATATGCCCCTGGCCGGCTTTTATGGCAGCGAATTAATGAACGCAGCCAACGAGGCTGGCTGGCGGCAGCAAGGACGTGGGGTAGGTCATTATTTTGCCCATGTCCCTGCTCCTGCGGCTCCTCCCCCTCGCTGCTGCAATGCATTGCGGCCTGGTCAGCTTGTGGCTCCATGGAACACCTCTCCGCAGCCCCGAGACCGCCGCCGTGTGCAATAATAGCAATAATTTATCACCCGGACCCAAATTATGCACGAACTCAATTGTGCGTGAAATTAAATTTTAAGCGCAAACAGGACGACTTGTCGGCTCGGCCCCTGTTTAACCCAATAATTTGGCCAATTTCACTTGAGACCGGCCCGCAAGACTGCCAGGCCGAATATAATTGAAAATATTTCCAATTGCTCGGTTGCGGCCGCAAATGACATGTGTGTATGGCCGGCATTTGCTTAGCACTAATTGGGTGTTTCTTGGCCGAAATGCTTTGGCTTGAAGTGGCCCTTTCTGCATTTCTGCATTAATGAAATATTAATTGTGCTGGGTTATCTGCACAGAGGCTCGAGCTGCACACTTGGAAAAGCAATTTAAGCTGGCAAAATGTGTTTAATTAAGACCTGGGCATCAAACCAACTGTTACAGGAGGTGTGTTACATATTTTTTGTTTAGCAAATAGAAACGAAGTGCCCACTGGTTTCCAAATCAAAGCATCCTTTGGCGTCTCTAAACTTTTCCCAATTTACTTTACTTGCAACGCAAACTTGGAGAGCTCAGAGACACGACGAGGGTCAGTCGGAATAAATTGGCAAATTGTCGGCGCAGAATTCTCAAAAGACATAAAATACCAAAACTTTCGATTGCATTTTTGTCGCCGAAGTACCTCTGATTGCCTTAAAAATAATTTATTGAGTCAATTGACTTTTGCAGCGAACTCTCCGCCCTCGTCTCCGCAAATAAACGCACTGCAATCGAACTTACAATCTCCGGGGAACCCCACACATTCACTTGATTTGATTGTGTTGACTCTGAATCGGAGTCTGCAGAGGGAAATAAACTTAAGTGCAGCAGCCACGTTCCTGAGTTCCAAAGGAACTCGATTCGATTCGATTCCGTTCGAAATTTGAAATTTATTGCGGCCGGAGTTCGTTCACATGGCAAGTTAAAGCTCCGGCTGCATTTACATGACTCATTCAAACTCCG